ATCTTCATCTTCTTCCGCTTCACGACGTTCAGTCTGTTGAACATGATCCTCTCTGTCTTCTTCATCTGATACTTCATCTTCATTCAACGCTTCTTCCACATCTACGTCCATTTCTTCCATTGGTACGACCGTCGCCGGGTTCAGCTCCTCTCGATCTCGGAGGTCGTTGATTTGCGCATTATCATCGCCTCCTTTCCTATTGATCGGGGTTGCGTCGGGCGTCGGATGGGTAGGTTCGGCTTCTTCGAGCCAGGATTTCCCAATCCAGACAGTTTTCCTCGCGAGGTCGAAACTAAGTGGAAGGTTCTGTCTTGTACATCTTGGTAGCACATCTGCTCCCAAGAGTACAGGTGTCAGGTGATCTTCGTCCTTCGCAACTTGCGAAGTGACGTTGGTAGAAGTTTTGCCGGTTGTAGAAGTGCAAATAACTTCTCCTTTGCATTCAAGAGCTGTTCCGTTAGCTGATCTTGTTGTTGCTTTCGGACCTGTCTTCAATTTTCCTTGAACTTCCAGCTTTCTGAGCAGTGAGCGATAACATTGTCTGTATATCGCATTCACCTTGTGGCTAATTCCTAGCCATTCAGAATTTAGATCTTGTTCAGTTGTTCTGTGTCTTCTGCCGGTGTAAAACGCGACTTGATTTCTTTGGTGCGTTATGTCTTGTAAATAGCTTCAGATAGGGCCAACACATCCAAATTATGAGCAAGACAAGCAGTCCGCTCTTCTCGTTTTCGGATTTCTTTTGGCTACGATCCAGCTTTTCAATAACTTCTGCCAGTGATTCGATTCTGGCGAAATTCTCGTTCGATGTTATTTTTGTCGGGTCGATTTTTGGCTGTCTCGATTCTACCGGTTTTTCCGTTTTCCATATGCCGTTTCTTGTCCTCTCGAGTCTTTTTCCTTGCTCGACGGTAATTTTGCATCTACCGGGTTTCATCTCTCCGGGTGCATTCATTTCGGCTTTGGAGCTTCCCACCAGTTCAAAATAGTTTTTCGGGCCAATTTCATTTCTTCCTCCGACAATATTCCATGCATTCCCGTCTTGGATTTGTTCCTTCTTGAGGGAAATGCGTAGATTCCATACACCTTGGCGGTTGTTCTGCCATCGGTTCGGGTTCGTCAGCTTGACGAGGCTTATAGGTCCAACCAAACGGCAATCTCTCCGCTCCGACATGGTCTCTCCCAGAGGAAGCATAGCGGATGCCAACAACATGGCAATCATGAACGGGTACACCGTTGGGGACATGCTCGTATTGCTGGTTCTGGGCGCTTCTTCGACATAGACTATATCCGAGCTCAGCGAATTTAAAAATTGCATCTGATCCTGAGGTGCAAATTGCTGTTGCTGCATGTGCTCGGGTGGCGCGTATTGTTGTGGTCCGTATTGCGGTCCGTACTGTTGTTGCATGTACGGTGGAACATAGTATTGTTCTTCATACCATCCCCAATGGAATGGGTTCCACTGGTTCCACCAACGGTTTCGGGCTCGACGATTTCTTCGGCCTCCACCGTAGTGTCCGCTTTCTTCTTCTTGGAAACCTTCGGACTCTTCTTGTTGGCCTTCGGTTTCCTCTTCGTAATCGTCCGCGGCCTCTTCTTCAGGACCTGCGGGCTCCTCTCCGTAATCAGGGTCCTCGTGGTCATAGTCCGCGTCGTTGTATTCTTGATCCGCGGTTTCTAACGCTTCGAGTCTCTCCGTGATTTCTTGGAGGTTTTCATTAGCGATGGCGTTGGTTGTCTCGCCATCTTCTTCATACGCCATTTCTGTCTCAATGGCGTGTAAAAATTCCAACAGGCCGGTGTGTTCGGTGATTTGAGCACTTCTCAGACTCCTGCGTATGTTGCGCGGGAGAAGCGAGAGTAGCTTTCTCTTCGCCGGTCGCTCATCACCTAGCCCAGCTCCGGTAGCTTCTTTGAGGATCTTGATTTTCTCAAAGAGAAGCTTTGGATCTCTAGTTTTCTCGAGCTTTAACTTTTCTAAGGCTCCTCTTGCAAGTTCTTGCCGACCAGGACTGGCGATGATTCGCAGTGCCCACCGTCGTAAGACTTCAACGACTGGGCCTTCTTTTTCTGCGGCAGGCATGGCCTCCCAAGTACTTCGCGCTCCTCCTCTTATAACTAGGGGAAAGTGGCGAATGACATCTATGTCCTGTTGCAAGTTGAAGCCGTCACAAGCTTCAAGAAATTCATTTACCGCATCGAATAGGCAGCGGCTCAAATCCCCAGTGATGGGCTCAATTTGACTCAATGCCCAATCAGTCATCTTTGGTTCAGGGTAGGCTGCGTAGCCTCCAGGCTATTGTTTTGTAGCCTGCTCTCCTTGCTTGCTTTTTGCTTCTTTTTTTCTCTTGTTACTTTTGCCTTCTTTCTTTCTTCTTTTGGTATGTGCTTTGTTGATTTTGTCTGCAATATTGTTGACTTTTCTAGTCTTTTTGCAAAATTGAGAGCGAAAATCGAAAATTGTGAAACTGGGTTTAATGACTGTATGAAATTATACAGTTGGTTTAAAAATCTAGTACGGTTCTTTGAAGAACCAAGAAGAATTAATCCCAATTAAAAAAATTTAAATGAAAATATTAAGAAAAATGGGAATAAGAAAATGTTAAAAATTAATTATTTAATGATTCAATTTTATCTTCTTTAGTCCTAGTTTTAAAGTTACGTTATGTTTTGACAATTTTGCAAATTGATTTAATTAATGATTTATTTTTAGTCCCTAGTACCATTTCCTAGATATTGTTGACGATTGGCAAAGGGCCTGGGTTGGGGGGTTGTTTACGGGGTGCACCATTGTTGACGCTGGTGCCCCGGGGTTCTCTTGCGATACCCTCGGGCGAAAAGGATGGAGGGGATTGCTCGCGGCTCGCGCCAGTTGGCTGGCGACTTGGGGAGATGCACACCATGGTACGGGGTCAAAATTGTTTACAGATACGCCATGGTGTGGAATAAAATTGTTACTAAAATATAGAAATAACCACAGTAAGAACACTAATCGGGCTTGCTGCAGACTCACCGTTCTAGAATTCACATTATACTGGGTATAATTTTGAGTTAGGTAATGAATAATTACTTGAATTTAAATGGGCAAAATTAGTTACTATTAATTTTTTTTTTTTTAATGTGTGCTTGACACGCTTCGAGTAATATGAAAATGCAACAAAATAAACCAGAGCATTTGATTGATCAAAATTGGGTTAAATAAAATTAAATGGGAATTTAGCGATTTTCAACAACGCTCCTAACTTATCTTGAAGTCTTCTTTTCATTTGTGCTCAATGGTACTTCTTATAGGTTTAATTAAGGTTAAACAAATTTTATGGGGAATATTTTCAAAATAAAAAAATTAGGCTAGTAATTAAATAAAAGATTTAATAAATACTCGTTGCATTACTAGGTCTTGAGACGAGTCGGTATTATCCGATAAGCGAATAATATTAATCGGGGATGCGAAAGTTAGAACGCCGTGGCTTCACCTTGGGCCCAGGTTAGGCACTTTTTTTTTCCTATCCGCTCGCTCTTTATTAATAATTGCTACCCCTGCGCTTGTAATATTATTATTTCTACCATCCTTATTCAATTGAGTTCGGTCCGGTGACCAATTTCGGATTTTCTGGCCAGAAAACGGCGTTTCCCCTATAAGCGCAGGGTTGACCTAGCGGTTGGCAAACCACAAAAATTCGGGTGGCAATTAGAAAGTATGGGGGTGAGATTGGAGTGATTCTCTACTTTCTAATTAAGCTAATCTCCAGGATAAAATCAGTTGGTGCCTGAATTCTGAGGTCGGGACCTCCATGTAAACGAAAATGATATTCGCTTGTTATGTCTGTCTCTCTCAGGGCTAGTGAGGTCTGTTTCTTAACGTGTAGCGGTATTTGACTGGGTTATTAAAGGCTAGTGAACCTCCTGTATTATATTTGAATTCCTACGACCAGCTACCAACAGAGTTTACCCTGGCCTATCCGAACTTGAGGTCCATGTGAATTTACCAACCTGAATTGCATACTCCGCCCGGGACGATATTTAGTTTAATAGGGCCTTTATTAAGGGGCCATACATTAATCATAAAATAGAATAAGTGGGCGCACTTATGGCAGCCGACATGCTGGGGCGGGAAAGGAAGGGAGGAGAATGGACCCGCACGACCTTAGGGGTCGCGCGTTATATAGAGAGAGAGAGCCAAACTGGCTCCGCCCATCCTTCCGCGTACCCTTTTGCATATCGGTAGACAAGGCTTTCATTAGGCGGCTTACACCAGTTACAAAAAATTTTTCTGCCTGCGGCGCTGTTTCTTACTGTTTTTCAAACAGTTTTTACTTATATGAATCCTATTTTTTCAAGATTTTTTGCCTGCGGCGCTGGTTTTTTATTGGTGAATCAAGGGTTCATAAAAAATTTTCGCCTGCGGCGCGTTTTCTGCCGCCTTTTCACACGAATTTGAGTGTAACGAACGCTTTTTTGCTATTTTTTTTGCCTGCGGCGCTATTATTCACGCGATTTCCGAAATTTCGGTTTCGCTACGGGCCTGCCTACAATACAAGGAATTTACGGGCAAAAACGTTTCGGTACGTTTCGCTGTGCTCAGTCTTGTCGCCATAGTTCTCCTCTAGAATGCAGGACTCGCAGAAGATGGCGTCGCATGAGTTGCAGTCAAAACGGTCGCCCTTGAAGTTTTGCTGCTCACAGCCGTCGCATTTGGCCCAGTGGCAGTCTTCGTAACCCTCTTGCGTGCCGGCGCTCCACCATGAAGCCATTTTCTAAAAAAATATGTAAAGGGATGTGAAGGCTGCAGCCACATTAGAAGCGGCCGTTCCATCTACACCTCGTCCGTAGAAAACCAATATGGCATAATAACCAAGTCTGGGAAGTCGTGAAAGTTTGGTCTCCGATTGATTTCAACGTTTATTCCAACAACAAAATAAAACAACGTGTAAATCAAGACATCTTTCATGCATGTACAAATAAAAGGGAATTTTAGCCGTGTTAAACTAGAAGCGAGTTCAGTGCTCCTTCTGCTCGTCACGCCGGGCTGGCTTTGGAGGCCGAGCAGGCGGCGGTGGTCGAGCCGGTTTGACCGGATAGAAGCAGTGGGCAAGGGGGGTGGGCTGTTGGATCGACTTGTAGGCGTCGTAGAATTGCTGCTGTGGGATCTCGTTCATCGCGCCAGTCTTCTGAGCATTGAAGTGATTGGCACGTCCGTTGGTGACTCCAAACACCGGATCTTTCACCTGAAAGGCGTTGTGATAAGCGATTTGTCCAGAATACAAACCTGCACGTAGACCTTCACGTGTTCACCGGTAGCCGGATCAAACCGGAATTCCCAGGCTTGATAGGTGCCAGACACCTTGACATCGTGCCGACCGTTGCGCTGCATGGGCTGGATGGCCGCGTTGATCTTGTGCTGCAGCGTTTCTGGGTCGATAGCCAGGATCGTGGTCTTGGAGCGCATTCCCGCTTGACGACCACCGTATCGCGTGGTGCGTGCTCCTTCCGCCATTGCCGCCGCGCGCTCTTCCATATTTCTGACTGGGACGGACTGCCTGACGCAAGAAAATATCAGGAACATAGCAAAAAAGTTACTTCATCTGCTCCTTGTCAAAATGGGCGTGCCTCTGTGTCGCTGTTCCGAGCTTCGCGCCTCCAGCCGGACGCTGTTTAGTTTCGAGCTCCTAAAAACATAAAGTAATATATTTTAAGTAGCCTAAGATTACTTTTAGTAAAATAGCGCAGAAAACTGACCTTCAAATGCTTCAACGTCACTTGACCGCCAGTTTCACGACCAAACTTGTGGTTGTGGCGGTTCAGCATGCGTTTCACCCTCGTTCGCTCTTCCTTGGTACCGAGCTCATTGCGCAATCCGGCCAATTCGTTCTTGGTTGCATTTTCCATGATGACCTTGGCCTGTTTGACACTGTAGAGGGCGCTGGCAAAGAACAGCAGTTGCGCAGATAGCTAAATTGCCAAAATCACGATGATAGCCACATTCAGACTTGCCTGGAAAAGCTGAAGAGAGGTGGGTTTACGTCCCTTGTTGAGATCATCGACGAGCGTCACCAACGATGTGACGCATCCGACACCATTGATGCCGAGCGAGCCTAAAAGCACTGTTTTGACTTATATTTTAGCACCCAAAACTAAACCTTGAACCACGTGAAAGGAAACATACCAAAAATGGCAACATTGGCAAGGAATCGTGTGCCGGCTCCAATAGCCACTCCTTCGCGTGCCACTTCCGCGAGCCGCCAGACAGCCAACGAACTGCCGAAAGAAGCAACCGTGCCCACGAGCGACAGCCAAGAGAAGAAACATTCACGGTCAGCGAACGGATCAATCCTCTGGCCGTGTGTGCCGCGATCGACGAGCTGAGCCGTCGCGCGACCGGTGAACCAGCCGCCGGTCGTCAAACCAGTCGTCAGCAGCACGCCCGCAGCCACAGGAGCAAGGGGCGTCATCAGACCGATCACTGCCAACGCGGTGCCTAAAAGATCGAAGCGGTTGTTTCGAGAGCAAACGGGACACAGGACAAGCTTCGCAAAACCGTACCGAAGATTGCTCCTCCAGTAGCCACTTGATCGCCGATTTTGAGTGCCTTGCGGTCCACCTTGCAGTTGGCCGACTGTCGCTGTTCCAGACAAATGCGGCCTTCATCGTCCACAGTATACGTTCCATCCTTCGGGCACAACATCCAGCACGGCGGCAAGTGGTTGTTCTCGTAGAAGTCGCCCCATCCGTTGTAATTGCGCTTCGATGGCTCCACAAAATACATGGGGCCGTTGGTGTAGAGCTGAATGACTGTAAATAATCAAGGAAGATATATACCTTGAACAACGGCAACGTGCCCTCAAATTTTTTAGGCCTGAAGTAACTAATGAAGATGAACTCGAGCGTCACTTCATTGCCACCGCCGTGATGTTTGTTCCACCAAAGCATGTGTCCGCGTAGCTCAAAGATGCGCTGCTCTTGCTCCTTTGTATAGCCGAAAGTGGACTCGTTGGACTCCTCGGCATTGATGGTGGGCACGCCGTAGATCGCGTAGCCGAGCTTTCGACCAAGCGAATACCACTCATCGTCATTCGACACGTGGTAGGTGTGCTTGCTATCGATTTGCGTAGGGCCGATCATCTGTTGGAACTTCGTAGCGGAAGCGAACAATCGAGGCCATTCCAAGGAATCATCGCCGACCGGCTGGATCTCCTGGAAACCATTAATACGTAAACCGTGGTTTGGAAAATTTACCGCCATCTCGTGCTTCTCTGCATGCTGAACCACCGTGTTCTCATGCGGTGCATAGCAACCCGTGAGATGACATGAGCGGCACAGCATGTAGTTGTCGCATTGCTTGCACTTGTAGCCGGCGCCGGCAAAATTCTCCGAATTGCATCCGCGGCATGTTGCCCATTGTTTCGGCAAGCAATGACGATCCAGGGGGCAAGGCGTAACCTAGTAATTAAGCCGTTAGCGATGAAACTACAGCCTTACCCTGCAAGAGTGGAAATCGGTGTGCACATCATTCTTGGTACCAAAATTCTCGGCCAGAATGCAGGATTCACAGAAGATGGCCTTGCACGAGTTGCAATCAAAGCGGTCGCCCTTGAAATTCTGCTGCTCACAGCCGTCACATTTGGCCCAGTGGCAGTCTTCGTAACCCTCTTGCGTGCCGGCGCTCCACCAAGAAGCCATTTTCTCAAAAATCTTTTTATTCTTGGAAATTTATTACTAGAAGCCTGAAATTTAAAAAATCACGAAAGCCACGAGCAACTATGACGAAAAAATGTAATAACCACAACGCACTCAGCAACAACCCATGAAAATTTTCATCTCGGAATTTCGTCTAGGGGTACTGTAATATGTTGTGCGTAGTGTACGTTTCTTATAACGCGCCGAGAAATTCTTTTCACTTTTATTATATCCCAACAAACAAAAAAATCATAAGTGAACGCCGGGGCAAGAGCAGTGTATGTGCAAATGGGGGAAAAGCTAATAAATAAGACACAAAAAAGTATGGAGATCACAGTTCGTGCTCGTCATCGCCTCTCCGGGCAGGCCTTGGCGGGTAGAAGCGGTGGGCTAGTGGCGTCGGCTGCTGGATGGGCTTGTAGGCGTCGTAGAATTGCTGCTGTGGGATCTCGTTCATCGCGCCAGTCTTCTGCGCATTGAAGTGGTCGGCACGGCCGTTCGTCACACCGAACACCGGATCTTTCACCTAAATAAGGAAAGTAAATTGTAACACTGTCAAAAATTCCTCACCTGCATGTAGACCTTCTCGTTCTGTCCGGTCTTCGGGTCGTACCGGAATTCCCAAGCCTGGAAAGTTCCGGGCACTTTCACGTCGTGCCGGCCATTCCTCTGCGACGGCTGGATAGCGTCGTTCAGCTTGTTCTGCAGCGCATCCGGCTCGATGGCCATCACCGTCGTCTTCGAGCGCAGATCGGCTTGATAGCCACCATAACGCGTCGTTCGCGCCGTTTCCGCGATTGCCGCCGCTTGCAGCTCCATGGAGCGGGGGTCGGTGTTTAATCTAAACTAAAATTTAAGGCTGGACGACACTAGCTACCTCAGATTCTCCTTGTCGAAATGGGCATGCTTTTGGATGGCGGGTCCCAGCTTGGTGCCATCACCAGCCTTCTTCACTTGGAGATCCTAAAGAGAGAATTCAAAACTCAACTGTACAAAACATACTTTCAAACGCTTCAGCGTCACTTGCCCGCCAGTGCCACGGCCAAATTTGTTGTTGTTGCGCTTGAGCATGCGCTTCAGCTTTGACCGCTCCTCCTTGGTGCCGAGCTCGTTTTGAACGGCGCGCAGTTCGCCCTTGGTCGCGTTCTCGATGATCGTACTGGCTTGCTTGACGCTGTAGATGGCGTTTGTGAAGAAGAGGAGCTGCGCAGAGAGCTGAAAAAAGTCGCTGTGATTTCGTTTTAAAAGAAAACAGACCTGGAAGAGCTGCAGAGGGCTGGGTTTGCGGCCTTTGTTGAGATCATCGACGAGCGTCACCACGGACGTTACACATCCAAAGCCATTCAGGCCGAGGGCGCCTAAAAAGCCATAAATTAAGAGCCATCACCAAAATCTCATTACCAAAAATGGCTAAGTTCGTGAGGAGGCGAGTGCCGGTTCCAATCGCGACCCCTTCCGAGGCGAGTTCGGCAAGTCGAGCGACAGCCATCGAGCTGCCCAGCGATACGGCAGTTCCGACGAGTGAAAGCCAGGAGAAGAAGACTTCACTATCCGCGAAAGGGTTCAGCGTCTGTTCGTGTCGGTGGCGATCAATCAAGTTGGCAGTTGTACGACCGGTAAACCAAGAGCCCGTGGCGACCCCAGTAACGGCCAGCGCTCCTGCGGCTATGGGAGCAAGCGGGGTGAACAGGCCAACAAGCGCCAGCGAGGTACCTAAAAATAAACGTTTTAAAACGCCAATGTTAATACTACAGCCTACATTTAATGACTAAAACCTACCAATAACCGCCCCACCAGTCGCCACTTTGTCTCCAGTCTTCAAAATCTGACGATGCGTCTTGCAATCGCCGGAAGGGCGCATTTCCACGCATACGCGACCGTCATCGTCCACAACGTACGACCCATTTTTCGGGCACAACAGTGTGCACGCCGGGAAGCGGTTCTTGTCGCAGAAGTCGCCCCATCCCTTGTAGGTGCGCCTGTAGGGTTCGACGAAGCACACTTGGTCCTTCGTAAAAACCTGAAAACCAAAAAGATTGTAAATTAACGGATCGATAAATACCTTGAATAACGGCATTGTGCCCTCAAATTTGTTCGGCTTCAGATAGTTGATGAAGAGGAAAGCAATTCGGACCGCACGATCCTCATCCTCTTTCTCGTAGAGTTCAAGGAAATGATCACGCAGCTCGTGGATGCGTTGCTCCTGCTCGGGGGTGTAGCCGAAAACGGACGTCGACGATTCCTCGGCGTTGATCGTGGGAGCATTGTAAAGGGCGAAGCCGACTTTTCGGCCAAGGGCCATCCATTCCTCGGCGTCGTTCACGTGGTAGGTGTTAATGCTGTCGACCTGTGTCGGGCCCATCATTTGCTGGAACTTGATGGCCGAGGCGAGCATTCGGCTCCAAGAAAGGGAATCGTTTTGAGGCGGATGGATTTCCTGAAAAGCACATTGAAATACTAATCGAAGATTCTCAGACATTTTCCGAAAATTAAAAAAATACACTCACCTCCATCTCATGATCTTCCGAATGCTTCACCGGCGTATTGGTCAGCGGCGCATAGCAGCCAGTAAGATGGCAGTCGCGGCAGAGAATATAGTCCTCGCATTCCTTGCACTTGTACGCGTCTCCCGTGAAATTCTCCGAGCGGCAACCGCTACAAGTGGCTTCTTGTGTCGAGGCGCAAAGACGATCGAGGGGGCAGGGCGTCACCTAGAAAGCAAAATAGCAGTCTAAATAGGATAAAAATGACTAATCAATTATCAAAAGCTCAAAAGCCATACCTTGCACGAGTGAAAATCGGTGTGCACATAGCTCTTTTCGCCGTAATTCTCTTGAAGTACGCACGTCTCGCAGAAGGTGGCTTGGCAAGTGTTGCAATCAAAGCGCTCGCCGCGGAAATTCTTCTCCTCACAGCCGTCGCAGGTGGCAAACTGATGATCTTCGTAGCCTTCTAGCAGGCCGGTGCTCCAGTAGGTGGCCATTTTTATCTAAACCGTTACTTTTAGAGTTGTAAGACTGTCTGAGAACACGATAGAAAGGAAGGATAGCGATAGCTGCCGTATAAAAGTATCGCACAGAACGTAATTTGTTTATTTACGTTGCCACTATAAAAGAGTATACGTGAGAGTGCAAATATCCGGTCTAACAATTGTCAGTGCCCGACGGGTGGCGATTGAGTTGTAAATCCGGGGCAAAAACACCCCATGGGATTGTTCGACTTTTGCAAACTGCGACCGGTGCGGGCATGATAACAACGGTTTTGTGGTATCTTCGTTGAGGGAAAAGCACAAACATGGCTTTTGCCGAGCCGGCGAATTGCTAGCGGATAACGCAAAAAACCCCTGTTATCAGCTCTGATCGATAGAAAGTTGAGTCATAGGAAAAAGTTTTCTTATTGCTAGTTAAAGGGGCAAAGAAGGCAAATTCACGTGTTAGCGTATCCACCCTTTGGTCAAAAGAAAACAAAAGGATACAGTCTAAAAGTATCAACAATTTCGTTGTGAAAAAAAAACGGCGACATATTTGAGAAAAACAAAATTTTTGGTCTAAAATGGAGTTTTTGGACATTTTATTTGGATAGAAAATTAGTGGCTACAAAAATTTGTCTATACTCATGTAGAAACTAGCGCAAACAACTAATCTTTAAAACATGATTACGAAATATGAAAAGTTTTACGGAAATCATGAAAGGAAATGACTGTTTTGGAAACCATGAAATCGGGAAGTAGGCGGCGGGTCGGGTCGAAATATCGGCGCGTTCGCGATGAGTCACCGATCGGTCGGCACGGCCGCTTTTGTGAGTATTTTCACGAGTTTCAGGATAGCACTGCCACACTTGTTGTTGACGTGGGAGCACGAGCAGCCGATCGATCGATAGGGCATAAATTGGCGAACCTCTTTTGCCCCCAGACACAATAGACCCGGGGGAATGGCTGAGGATTTGTAAACAACGTGTTTGCGAGGAAAACAAGCATGGGATTTTCGGGTTTGGCTCAAAATATCACACGAACTGTACTGCTAAAATACTTTTTGAGCTTGCTACTACGCACTCACGTTTCTAGGCGAAAAAAGTGGACTTCCTGGTGCCTTTAAAAAAGTTGTGAAGTTCATTTTTACGTAAATCTGAAATCTATAAACAAATTGTCAAGTTGGTGTATCTTGTATTCCTTGAACACAGACCTCTCTAAAGAGATGATGTCACATCTTTCGAAATATAAAACAGGAAAGAATGGGTGTTAAACTATGCTTATCATTTTCTAATGTGATTTCTATCGTTTTGTGTATTTTTTCAAGCTTGTAATTATCCTACCTTATATAATTTTGGAGTGTATCTCTGTGTGTGTGTGTGTGTGGATGTCAGGTTCGAGGCCCGATTTGAGGGCCTTCCCGTGTCCAAAATGCCCTGATTCTCCGTCACCCGGAGGAATCGACCCTCCTCTTTCCGATGGCGCTTTCAGAATCCCGATAAAATACAAGTTTACAAAGTTAAAGCCGGTTTTATTGTTTTTTGGGGGTCCGGGAGGGCTAATTTGCATAATGTGAAAAAATACAAATTTCCTCATTCTTGCCAGTTGCACTCGCGAGTTTGGTCGTCTCTTTGGATCTGCCTCTCATTGCGTTTCCTTCCCCTGCCCCGGGCAGTCCACTTGAGGCATAAAACGGGTGTTTGACGCGTGCTACCAAGCATCGCATGGCGTAGTGGTAAGCGCTTCGCCGTGCTAATCCAACCATCGGAGGTTCGATCCTCGGATATCGTAGTTGTTTTGCTTTTTGCTCCGAAAGTGCGTTTCGGAGTAGATTTCCGTGTAGGGACGTTATTATGAAGTTAGTCACTCAAGCCGCAGCCTATAGAATGAAGCTACCCACTCAAGCATGCGCCGCAGGCCAAGGAATCAAGCTAACTGCTCAAGCTAGCGCCGCAGACTTTGGAACGACGCTAGCCGCCGAAACTAGCGCCGCAGGCTAAAGGTTCAGGCCGCCCCCTGAAACTAGCGCCGTAGGCTTCGGAAGGAAGTTGCCCGGGCAAGCTAGCGCCGCGGGCCAAGGTCAGAGCTAGCCCTTCAAAATTGCGCCGCGGGATAAGGAGGCTCAAGCTTGCTCCGCAGGCTTAAGCATGAAGCTAATATCACAAGCTAGCGCCGCAGGCTTTTAGAACGAAGCCAGCCGCTCAAGCTAGCGCCGCAGGCTTTAGAACGAAGCTAGCCGCTCAAGCTAGCGCCGCAGGCTTTAGAACGAAGCTAGCGCTCAAGCTAGCGCCGCAGGCTTTAGAACGAAGCTAGCCGTCAAGCTAGCGCCGCAGGCTTTAGAACGAAGCTGCCGCTGAAGCTAGCGCCGAGGCTTTAGAACGAAGCTAGCCGCTCAAGCTAGCGCCGCAGGCTTTAGAACGAAGCTAGCCGCTCAAGCTAGCGCCGCAGGCTTTAGAACGAAGCTAGCCGCTCAAGCTAGCGCCGCAGGCTTTAGAACGAAGCTAGCCGTCAGCTAGCGCCGCGGCTTTAGAACGAAGCTAGCCGCTCAAGCTAGCGCCCGGCTTTAGAAAGAAGCTAGCCGCTCAAGCTAGCGCCGCAGGCTTAAGTATGAAGCTAACCTCACAAGCTAGCGCCGCAGGCTTTAGAACGAAGCCAGCCGCTCAAGCTGGCGCCGCAGGCTTTAGAACGAAGCCAGCCGCTCAAGCTGGCGCCGCAGGCTTTAGAACAAGCAAGCCGCTCAGCTAGCGCCGAGGCTTTAGAACGAAGCCAGCCGTCAAGCAGCGCCGCAGGCTTTAGAACGAAGCAAGCCGCTCAAGCTTTAGCGCCGCAGGCTTTAGAACGAAGCCAGCCGCTCAGCTGGCGCCGCAGGCTTTAGAACGAAGCCAGCCGCTCAAGCAGCGCCGCAGGCTTTAGAACGAAGCCAGCCGCTCAAGCAGCGCCGCAGGCTTTAGAACGAAGCAAGCCGCTCAAGCTAGCGCCGCAGGCTTTAGAACGAAGCCAGCCGCTCAAGCTGGCGCCGCAGGCTTTAGAACGAAGCCAGCCGCTCAAGCTAGCGCCGCAGGCTTTAGAACGAAGCCAGCCGCTCAAGCTGGCGCCGCAGGCTTTAGAACGAAGCCAGCCGCTCAAGCTGGCGCCGCAGGCTTTAGAACGAAGCCAGCCGCTCAAGCTAGCGCCGCAGGCTTTAGAACGAAGCCAGCCGCTCAAGGTAGCGCCCAGGCTTTTAGAACGAAGCCAACCATTGAAGCTAGCGCCGCAGGCTAAAGAAGGAGGTAACCGCTCAAACTTGCGCCGCAGGCTTTATCTCGAAACAAACCGATCGAGCATGCGCCGCAAGCCTAATAAGGACACTAGCAATTTAAGCTTGCGCCGCATGTCAATACCAAGAGGTTTGCATGGGAGATGCGTTATTCTTTCTTCAGGGTAACTTTATGTGGAAGGGCGCTCGATTTATAGGGCCTAGACGGGGTCCAGCGGGGGAGAGTCGCGAAGCGGCTCCTCCCCCGCTGGTAGATTTTATAATT